GTTATTGTTTATTTTCGCCATTTTCGTTTAGAAGAAAGGTAGTATTATATCATATAAGAAATATATTATTTGAATCCAGTACTCATTTCACGCTTCCTGTACATACCATGCTTTATCAAGCCTGAAACTAAATAAACTAATTTTAACATTTTGAATGACATCAATACAATCATTACAATATGTCAATCTGTAGTCCATCTTAGGAGTTGTTCAAATGTTGAGAGTTTAAATGAATTGTCGAATCACACGTGACATTCGATGCGGTTTTAATTCTTTTACAAATGTGTTGCACATGCAAACACGATATGTGGTAGTAATCAAAATGCGTTTGAAAACCTTTTGTGTGCGAACCAGTGGTTTGGCTCTGAATAAATTGCGGCAGCCACGCTGTCAACTCTAATAGCACACACAAACTACGCGCATCAAGCCGTGCCCGAAGTGGCTATCGCAATTTTGTCACGAAAGCATTGCACTAAATGAGAAAGGGAATCGTACAGACGCGGAATAGTTGGTATTTACTCTGAAGCAGACAGCGCTAATTCACTTGTCGCACGATGCGTAAAATAGGTGGCGAACTACGTCAGAACGGAGTACAAACGTCAAAGAAAAAGTATGCTTAACACTCAGCAAAATTGAATGTCCGAAAACATCAACGTACAAAAAGGGATCAAAGAGGAAAAGGTCGGTACAACTTGAACATCCTGTTATATGCTAGTACTCTCACAGATTTAATGTTTGTAGTACTTCTGTTATGTAAGTTAAGTTCGTTACTTTTCCCCGTTCCACTAAGAGTACTGCTTTGTGGAGGGATATTTCCTTCTTGTGTCATATTTATACATACATGCAGCGAGATATGTACAAATATATGGAACATATACTAGATTTTCCTGAACAATTATGAAAAAGTGAAGGATGGTTATACAAGTACGTGGCGATTTCCTTTGCCAACTAGAATTCCTTAACTACAAGGTGAAAATAAACATACAATACTGAGGAATCTATCCTACAAGCCTGAACGTTAGGTTAAGATGGTTCAGTGGCAGCATTACCGTTGCCCCTGCAGCGTTGCTGTCGGATGGGCCCAAGAGCTCGAGTCTCGCCGGTGGTGGATTGTCAATACTAACTATAAATACAGTCCAGGTGAACCCCAGGTCTGTTCCAATGCCATGGAATTTCGATAGATATTATTGTCTAATGAAAAAATATTTGATTGCCCCATTCATTATAGGAGCCACGACAACACATAGGGTTCCTGGCAGTCACTTGTGCAGACAGGCGGGCAAACAGACGGGCAGACAGCTGGGCAGGCAGACGGGAAGTCTGACAGGCGGGTAGACATTTTGAAAAAAAAACCTTTTTTCGTTACCAGGAACTCCTAAAAGGTGTTCCGTTTACATCTCGACAATGCTAATTGCCTGTATTAAAATACTTTTCATGTACTACGTAGGTGAGAAAGTAAACAAGCGGAACTAAAAGGGTACATACTTTCTCTCCATATTTGTAACTTTTGCAGTTTTCGAAAATTCAGAGTTCATTAAAAATGGGACTTGAGCCATTGTTAAGCGTGCTTGGCTAAATAAAAAAATGAAAAAAATGAAAATTTTGGAGAAAAAAATTAAACATTTTCTCTATTTTAAGCCAAAATTACGCGAAAACTACTCGTTTTCTTCCAAAATTTTGTACATGACCTTATTTAAAAATCTATTGCTATAAAATAGATTTTATTAAGGAAAGAATTATCAAAATTATAATTTTGCAATCTCATTTTTCAATTATATGGAAAATGTTTTTTTTAATTATTGATTCACGTCATGATGCTATGTAGAATCTCTATTGCTTATTTTCAATGCGCGCAGAAATTGAAAGAAAACTATGCAAAATCGAGCGTTGTGAAAGGTGACTATGATTGCCTGAGGTACCCAGGAACAAGGGTACTCAAAAAATAGTCAGTTTTGATTTGAACTAATATTAGGGGTGCTACAACAACACAATTTTTTCGCATTAATTCTAAATTTGAGATTTTCGATTATTCAATGTTTAATGAAAATTATTCCTGCCACATTCTTTTAAATGTTCCCTGTTTTTTCCGAAGAATATTTTTTGAAGAAAATATTCGGAGGGGTTTTTGAGAAAATGATTATTTTAATAATTCACACTAGTGTCAAATACAAATTAGACGAAAACTGCTCGTTTTCTTAAAAAAAGTATATTAACTTTTTTAAAGACCTGACTTTCTAGAACTTTTGTTTAAGGCAAAAATCTCTATTTTCAATTTTGTAGTGTTGAAATGTTAAATTTCATGAAATGTGAAATGTTAAATTGAGGCTAGCAACAATTTTTTGCCTTCGTTAGAAACATGCGAAAAGAAATTTAAAGAATAATTTTGGACTAGTTTTTGAGAAAAAAACTGTATAAAAAATTACACAATATTATGCAAAGACCACTTATATTTTCGAAAAATTGTAACTGATTTTATTTCAAGATCTGTCTGTACAGAACAGATTTAATTTAGGAAAAAAATCTGTCTTCAATATTGTATTTGTAAGAAGACGCCGAAAAGAAAATTAAATGTTCATAATTTTCGAAAAATCAGGGATTTCAACGAAAATAAGTCCTGCACCACTCTCTCAAACGTTTCTTAGGCTATCCGAAGCAGAAGTTTAATCCAAAAATTTGGAGCCCTTGTTTAAAAATATTTTGAAAATGTTGAGGCTCATGTAAAGTATCCCCCAAAATCAAAATATGTTTCGTATACACGAACCATTCCTCGTGAAATCGAAAACCGTTTTACCTCAGGTGTTTGAAATTAATTGAAACGTCTTGCATGTGTTCTGAGGGGAACTAAAAGAGGTTTAAATATTTTTGTTAAAATTTAACTTAATTATTTTGGAATTTATGCTGCTTGACATTTTCCGAAAAACCCAGCGCACGAACAAATAAAAAAGCTTATTTCTCTTGCCACATTGATCGTACAGAACTAATATTAGTCGCAAATAAAAGATCAAACACAGTTATTTAAGAAGATTTATAGTTGGATTTAATTGTTAAGTATCAACAATTCATTAAATTTCAATTAATGAAAAAAATCAATTTTACAAATTTCACAGTAATAAAATTTCATTTAAAAATAATATTATATTGTTAATTTAAGGAACTTCAAATGTGGAAAATTTCACATTAGTATATTAATAAATAATATAATTAAAATTATTAATTGAATGCGTGTGCTGCCACATAGTCTACTGTGGGGATGTTTCATTATTAGTACTACTTCGAACAGTGGAGATCGGAATGAAACGTGGCGTTTGCATAATCTTCAAACATTTTTAAATTTCTAGGTACAACAGGTTATTTTTAAGCCTACAGCTTTAGAGCAATGTTCTTTTTGTTTGTTATTGGTAACTGGCTCTGAAAATGAAGTCCTCATTCTGTCGTCGCCGGACCCAGCGCGGGCAATTCATACGGCTCTACCAGAAGTAAACAAAGAGGCCTATCTTCGAAATCCAGATGAGCGCCCTCTTCATGGTTTCTGCCAATATTTGTTTCATTTTTCCTTAATGTTCGGTCCCACTAAAGGCGCGTCAGGACGGGACACCCTCCACTGTCCGGCAGATCCAATTTTATTTGTTATACTGGGCTGTGTCTATGTGCAGGAAGTGTAAACTATGTTTACTGCGTGGGTTAGACTGTGAACAAAATGAGTAATATCAAATACCTAATACACGGCATTGTCGTGCACATTCGATCTCAAAAATCACAGCGATCGGTATAAGAAGAAAAACTTTAGACGTATGACGTCCTATTCCATTGTCATTCAAAATTCATTTCAAAGAGCTCATTGGAATAAAGAACCAGGCTACACTTCATCCCTCTGTTATATATTTCAAATATAGCAATCATCGAACGCACAAAAGTGTAATAACAATTACTGCAAGCCTAAAGCATGGATCAAATACTGTTCACCTCTTCCAGAAACATTTAAGTGAATTTCTAGAAGCTGAAATAGGTAATATTGAAAAAAGTAATATACGTATTTTTCTGATGAAGCAAGTGTGCAATATAAAAACCGAAAAAGGGTGTTATTTTATGTGAAAAGATTTTGGTGTGAATTCTGAACGGTGTATCTTCGCTACTTGCCGTGGGAATGGGCCTAGTAATGGTGACACCACCAACAAACTATTGGCTACGCGAGACAATCTGCAGCCATTTTATAATCCAATTATGACACCACTTTATGTTGTTGACAATTGATGACCACAAAAATGTGACGTATTGAAATCCCAATATGAAAAAGTGAAACTAGTTATACAAAAATACACTTACGTGGATCTATTATTTTATTACCTTTTGTACAATTTTATTAATGAGTGAATGAATATTAACTTCAACCACTACTTCTACAGTTTCTACTACTCATTCCGAACATTCTCATTTTAATAAAAAATAGTCTGAGAGCATTTGACTTCATACAGCTGCCGCAGCCGTTTCCCATATTCCCGAATGCCGCTGTTCCACATATGCCGGATGTTCGATTGGGAAAGTTAATTTATTGCAACAATATTTATTCATATCCCATTCTGAAATTTTGCACAATCATACAATAAAAGGTAGGGAATTTAGTGATATCTTTTATATTTAAAAACTGGCGAACTTTAACAAATTAAATTATTAAGTTAAAAATCTACGAAAAATTAAAATTTTCATTTTTTCTATAATTTTAGTACAAAGGTAATTAAAAGTCTTGTTGCGCGTGTTTTTCAGCAGCAAGACTAAGTTAGACAAGGTTGTTGAGTGAGACAGGATGATGATGTGTGAAGGGACAATCACAAATACGACCATGTCTACGCAGGACTCAAACCTGCATTATTAATATTATTTATTATTATTATTATTATTATTATTATTATTATTATTATTATTCTTATTTATTATTATTATTATTATTATTATTATTATTATTATTATCATCATTATTATTGTCATCCCATGTTACTCTGCAGACTTTTGTGGGATTGTGAGATACGGCGTCAGTGCCCGGACGGGGCACAAGAGCGGGATTATGGGCACGCCGTTGTTAGCTTCTCGCGGCGCTCGGCGCGTGACCAAGTACTGCGAAGCAGCGGCTGCCGTCTCTTCATTGCGCCCTTATCTCTGCTGGCGTCCGCCCTTGTCGCTGCCGGTGTCTCAGCCGCCTCCCGCTCTCCACTTCAAGGCCGCCTGTACGCGCTACACACGGACGAATGTAGATTCCCATTGCTTGGAATTCAAAATGCTACTCCAAAAATCTCTTCAATAAGTGGCATCCCTACAAACGTTCTACAGTTTGTAAAACATTGTTTTATAAGTGAAAATAGCTCCACAGTGGAACGGAACATTAGCCAATGACCATTGAGAAAATATTGAGGTAGTTCCTTTTGGACCGTCTAAATGAAAATTTCACTACTTGCTCATGTTTTCTTGAGCTTTCTGTTTGTTGGATGCCGGAGAAGTGAGGTGGTGGTGGTGGTGGTGGTGGGGGGAGCTCATTATTTTTCAGCAATACTATACAATCAAGTTAGTAGTTCGTTTGCAGAGGAAAACTATTTTCTAATTCACGGAATCGACAAGTATTAAATTTTGAAGGCTACCAACTACGACATATTTATTCATTATTCAACGAAGTATGACAGATGGGTAAGGATTCTGGAGCTTAAGAAAACGTATGCACATTGTAAACTCTCCATACATCATTTAGCTTACATATTTTTGACGATAAATAAATTAAAGCAATTAAAGTGCCAAGTTGTTCGTGGGTAAATATTTAAATACAGCTAAGGGTTTATTTACAAACAGCAACAAAGAGAATTTATTATGAACCAATCAAAAATACTTAGACCCGCGAGATTTAAAAAATAAAATTTTAGTAAATAGTAAATTTCTTTTACGTAGATTTCAAGATTGTGTACTGCACGAGACAATTTTGCTCGAGCATGGCGGCAGTTTGCAGAAAATCCCCTGGACGTCAGCCCAGAAGGACAGGATTTCCTCACCGCGACCCAACGAGCGAAATATGCTTGGCCTTGAAAGCCGAGTATCCGTGGGTCGGTACGAGGGAACTACTCAGGCCAGTCTTGCGTAGAACGGCAACGGGCAGAGGGCCACAATGAGGCGATGTGTATATACGAGCTAAAACATGGACGATGATTGTATGCTAAATTAAGGAGATGTGGGCATGAAAAAATGGGACAGTTTATACTAATGCAAATATTACACTTCGAATAAAAATAATAAAAATAAATAATTCAGTAATTGAAACATTTAAACAGGAATACACGATTTCTAATATTTTTTACAAATTTTATCATTCTGTATGAAGTAAAAAATCTTTGTCTGGTACCACTTAATTATTAGAAACGTTTCTAAATTAAGTGAAAATAATACAGTATTCAACGAAGTTAATTGAAGTGTGAACCCTAAAATTCCGTTACAGATAGCGGTATGAAGTTTATTTACGGAGGTCAGTAGTAATAAAAACGTAAATATAATAATAATAATAATAATAATAATAATAATAATAATAATAATAATAATAATAATATACTTTTTCAATTTCCACTTCTACTATCACCTTATTCGTTTCCAATATTTCAAAACAAAAAAAGGTGTCACCGATTTAAACAGAAGTTTGAAAAACATCTGAATAATTTAAAAGCATGTTCTTTTTTTACACCACAAACCTCTCAAATCTGTCGATCAGTTTTTGGATTTCACCAAACATGGGTGATGCTCCTTCCTCTTATCCTAATTCTTTTTAGATTCTTCTCCTTTTTAGGATTTCTTCTTCTGTGTTACGACACATCCCCAGACGGAATGTAAGCTTCTACAAATCCTGCTTAATTTTCTTTTGAAGCCATCGGCCCCTGTAACCGCGACGCGATCACTTTGCGCTCCCTGTGTAGCGGCCAGGCTGCCAATACAATGGAAATTGCCGCCTCTTCCCGCCGGCGCGTGAACCAGCCCCCCCCCCAGCCAATGCGCCATGGTGCTCAAGGTCACGGTACCCGACGCTCGAGCGAGTTCAAGCGAGCAAATGGCACGCCTTTCAGATCTCTATTCTGTACATCTCTATCTATCCGTGCTACAACATTGAGAACCAAAAAGAGCTAATTCTCCCAAAACACAACAGAAACTTCTCGTTTATCATCGAGTTCTACAAAACATACTTCGGCCTCCTGCAATCTAAAATACCGACGAAAATGCTTGCGAACAAACCGTTTTCGAGCCAAGCTGGATGATAGCATGTTTTTCAGAGTAATATGTGTTGCATATTGCGTGTGCACCAGCTGAGTTATGCAGAAATGCAGGAAATTCTGCATTTTTATCTTAAAACTGTTTGGTGTATCTCTGGAGCTAATATCATTTTTAGCAGTAACACATTTACGGCGTTGATGTCAATGGATTCTTATATATCTTAAAAAAGTCATCATTCCTTAGCTTGTTAGTCACCAAATAGTCTGGATGAGTAAAGTGGAAACTAGTGGTACGAAAACAACACGTACTTTCTCGCATTAGTAATAGGAACATTATTATTATTATTATTATTATTATTATTATTATTATTATTATTATTATTATTATTATTACAGTCCTTTTGCAGATTCAGGGACTACTGTAGAGTCTGAATCAGATCAGTCGCTTCTGATGCCAGCAGATGGTAACATTTCATTAAACTCTTGAGCATTTATACACATATTCACTTTTACACTTGAAGGTTTCACAGATTATTACCCTTTCACAGTTTTTTTCTAATTCAGTCCGTTACAACAACTTTCAGAGATCGTTCTCTCTTAACTATATTGGAAATAACATTATATAACACTGAGTAATCGTACCGTTATGTAGTTTTGGTTCTTGTCCTTATTCCTATAATTCTTCTAAATTATACAATGTCGCAATTTCTGACCACATTAACACAACTCAGCCGTCACATGTAAAACTCTAATCATAGACTATTAAAAGCGAAAAGTAATTATTTTAAAGCGAACATCAACACAAATTGGACAATGCAAACAGGTTCAGTTGACTCATCGGACCAACTGATGTGACTGCAGTGTCTGATCGAGTGATCCTAGGATTCGAGTTCCGACTGTGGCAGGATTTTCGACACTTACTAGATACCTAAGTCGAATTCAACAGCTTTATGGAGGACCATTCTAGCGGCCGGCTGCTCTGATCGGTAGTTTTCGTAGTTTCTCCTATTAGAACCAGACGAGTGCCGGAGCAGTATCCTAACAAACTGAACACAAACCTCGTGCAATCTTTCCTTCCTTCCTCCTTGTCCTGTCCTCACGCCTTACACTCACACTTACATGCACTACACTACCACATATGTCGGGACGTGTCATGAGTTTACATTTGTGGCCTGCCACGGCTAAGGCGGTACCCCATTTGTGAGAGATGTCTATATGAGGAAAACAGCACAAGCTCACATGTAGGTCAGCGCTGGATCTCGCCATCGAGTGGGGGAAGAACAACGCTACTCCCGTGTTAAAATCATGCACTACAATTATGGAACTAATTACGATAAATTCACGAGTCCGGAAGCACGAAATAATCAGTCAAACTACAATCGAATACGGGGTACCATACCGCCAGAAACATCGCATATTAGTAAGAAGGAATTATGAGAATTTCTAACTGACGTTTATTTATCTAATTATCTTATTTAATCTATTTATCTAATACATCTTAAGTGCAACAACAATGAATTCTCCCAAAGAGGTGAACAAACTTCGGAAACTCGTCCTTATACCAAGCCTTATGATGAAATTATGTTTAAAGCACACTTTCTGGGCAGATAAAAACTGAAGAGGCGAAATTGTACAGATTGAGATCGGTTTGATTAAAACTGCCATTAGAGAGTCTCATCCCAAGTGCCTGTCCACAGAGGGAATTCGTTTTCATCATATTGTTTCATATCGAGAACATCGTCACATTCTTATTAGTGTTCTCCGTAACACGCGAACGAATATATCACGTAAGATAAATAAACCTTCCAATAAACTCACCAACCTTATCCTTCAGTCTCCCCAATCTCCGCCTTTATTACGAAGCATCGTTGTCGTATTCCTCCATCTGCTTGGTGGCCTTCAACTTCTTCTTTTTCCCAGAGTATTATTCCAGTCTTAGTCCTCTTCCAGTTCACGTCCAGAGACTTATTTCATCAATTCGCTGGAATGTCCACCCCAGTGTGGTATTGAGTAGATCTTATCTATCATTGTATATTGTATTTTAGGTTTATAATTGTTTCACTATTTTTGTTCAGTATTTCGTAATTATTTCATTATTATTTATTGTTTCATAATCATTACAAACAGAACTAATACTTTTGAAACCTTTATAAAGAACTCTTGCATTTTAATGGAAAGAGACATCTTGTACTATGTATTCAATTGTGAAATATTTGCATTAAAAATTGCTACGAGTAATTATTATATATATATATATATATTATATATATAATAATATATATATAGATTATATATATATATACTATATATATATATATTGATGACACTACCTGGGAACACGTACTCTCACTCACAAATAGAATGATATTAAAGACGGTACATTCTCGCGAATGGACCTTCCAGGGTTTGACGCTGCATTGGAAGAATGATCGAAGAAAAAACCTTTTTTTTTTTCTTTTTTGTGCAATTAAAAGTTGAATATTGAAACATTATGTTACAAAAATTCGTTACAATACGCAGTGCGCAAGCCTTTTAATGAGCCGTCACGAGTATCGCTACCTTAGCTTCGATGTCCACAACAGGCTGGCTGAGCGAGCGGACCGCCGTGGCAACGGCGGCGCGGTTCCGGCACAACTTCGGTCCGCCCGAAGTTTGTCGAAGTCGCTCTCCCTCGGTAGGTCGACTCCGCTAGCCCCCAAAAACACAATGGCAACCGAGTTCGCCGCGGGTCCACCACCCCAGCCAGTACCAAGCAAGTGTCACAATATACTAAACTTGCACTGCCGCGCAATTGTGTCCAGTCGGCCAGTTCCATCTCAGCAGTTCTTTCAATCCCACTCGAATTTTGCACGTGCGCCCGCTGCTTGCATCACACCCGGGCGGAAATGAACGCGTGTCGTTCCCACTCAAACTCCAGTATTAATGTTTTGCACTGATCCCGGTCCTGGTGCGCACTCCATTTCTCCATTGATTATCAAATTTGGATCACCTCCAATCTCCCACTTAATGCGCGACAATCAATTCCAAACTGTCGAATATCACTATAAACTTGCTTGAGCAAGCACAGCCCGTCCGTGTTGCGCTCGCGGCCTCTCTGCCGATCTGCCCAAACCGTCACTCGTCTCGCCCGTCTACCCCCGATTTACACTTCGGTTGGCAGCGGCCGGCGGCGGCGGCGCGTACTACGCTGATCATTATGCTTCTTTTAATTAGAATTAAATCAATTTTGATTGTTACTATGCAGAAACGTTCTCGTTTCCAACAAATAATATTATTAATATATAATATATTATATATTATATATATATATATATATTACAGCTAAACAAAACAGTAATATATTTTAGTCGATAGTAAAAGATAACCCTTTCTATCAAGGTATTTCCTTTGACGTTTTGTTATCAGAAGCATAGATTTCTACAGGAAGTTTTTCTTATATTTTTTCTATCTCGTAGCAGCATTTATATCACCGCAAACTAATTTCTGTACTTTTAAGACGCAACACTCTGTTGTAGATTCGTTCGGGGTCGTTAGTGTCATTTGTAAATACTACAATTCTACCCGACAACTGGGCGCTAAGGTTATTCATGGAGGCCTAACATTGGGCATGAACGCGATACAGAATTTGCATTCCACAAATTGACATTTTTCTTCGTTTGTATGGAAAAGTCGATTTTTTTGGTAATACTTAGACCTCTACTTGAAGCTTCGTCTCATTATAAGCCGAATCTTATGGACGCCACAAAGAGAAATCGCCAAGAAATAGCTGCCAAGGAACAAAGCGTTTCTCGGCAAATAGCATTTCCTTTCACACGCTGAATATTCAGTATTCATGTTTTGTAGGTTTATAACACACAAAAAAAAAGATTGACGGCAAAAAGTCGAACAACATAAGTTCGTTCACATTGCGACACAAATTCACATTTCGCCTAAAACAATCAATTGAAGTACAAGAAAATTACTGGTGAATTCTCATTAATAACATCGTCATATTCGTACTTATGTCATGCATGTTGGCGGAAGTCTTTGCAAAATTACACTTTTCAGCAAATATCAAAATCGCGTGTTTAATCATTGTACGTCAATTCATACGGCGAGCCCATTGTCTGTGCATTGATCGGCTTCGGCACATTTCCGAATGGCAGCAAAAAACAGAAATACTTTTCTATAGTTCACTGTGAAAATCGCGCTATTGCCGGGCAAGGACGTATTCAACTCAGTTGGAAATTTTTCAGTAATAGAGATATTGATACTAAATATTTATTTAAATGTAAATATCCAATTTTCCCTGTATGTACCCGTGAATTTGCTTTAAACCAGCTATAAAATGAATTTAAAAAAATTAAAATTACTTTATTGATGCCAACACAAATGGTCACAAATTTCTAAAAGTTTCTAGGTTACTGACTGCAGAAACGACACGCCGCAGGGCCAGAAGTCTCTGCTGCGAAATCTCTACACCATTCAATCGCGGCATATGACAAGAGTATTTTTTCGCGATTTTTACACTTTCTCATTTTTACTTGGGTACCGCGGTGTCGATTGTCATGTAGAGGTCAAAACATGCTCTAGTCATCTCAATCTGCAGTGTCAAACTGGCGAACGATAGAAGTCATGGACGTTTTTACAAATCCTGCCGCACCGCGAACTGCCGACCTTAAACCGGATTTTAAACCTCATTAATGTTTATAATTATTTATTAAATTACCGATACAAGTAGTATTGCTGAATTTGTCTTTTTAAGACCTATATATTCGTGTAAAAAACGACAGAGTTCTATTTCACAAAAGGAGGTTAATTCAAATTTATTATATATTTAAGACATTACACATATTTACAATTTATCTGACAGAAAACACTCAATATAATACAAAATCTTATAAGAAATATGGTTATTCACCAGGAAATAGTAATAATTGTCAAACAATAACAACACTAAATTTATAACTAAGTATACTCTCCTTATAAAGTGACAACCCGTGCAATTGCTGTGTAGCAAGGTTTGCATATACAAGGGGAACACACGAACCTGTCATACAAAGTGAAGCTTATAGATTTATTAAGTAACTTTTATGGTTTTAACCAAATTTATTCTGATAATATTTGTCACTGAAATGCACGTAAATTCTATTTTGTACATTCTAAAATGTAATATTTTCTTTTAATATTCGTATTTGTAATCGTTTTTATATTGATTCATGAACTAAATTATGTTCCTATTCTTAATATGAAGTAATATTCAGTATTTTCGTGAATGTTTTAACGATACTGACAATTCTCTAATGTTAGTCAATGATTCTCATTTCCCGTACAACTGCAAATTGAGATCAATTTGGGCACGAACACAAGAAAATTGACACTAAACTGAATCATGTTGAGAATTATCATGTTCAAACTGAGATTAAGAGTCTAAAAATTGAAAATAAATAAAATAAAATTAAGAAATTCTAGACATATTCCTCGATACCATCAATATTAACTTTTAATAAAAACCTACATAGAATTAGTTAAATTAAACCCTCTAATGTCCCTGTTACTTCGATGTAACCGTTTCTCGTTAACTCATATTTGAACATTTTTTACTAACTTGCAAATCAATTCATGCCTTCATCAATAGAGGGAGATGAAACAGTGCAGGTGTTTCATGCCTGACCGATGGATGCCGATTTTGCCGAGAGCGCTAAGGCATAGTACTCTCATGACCAGGGCGTATTAATGACTTGCGTCGATTTGAATTTTCGTCTAAAACCGTGCTGAGCTGATGTGTGCCTGTGGTTAGGGGGGGGGGTGAGGCCGATGTAAAGAAAGCCGGTGGTTCGTCTGCATCGAAATTGACGGGGCATATGCTCTGCGCGCCCGGACACGACAGTGCTTGAGCGCTATGCGCATTAAATTACCTTCGACATTAAAAGGTAATTTTTCCATTGCTGCTTTCTAAATCTCAAACTAACAGTTACAGAAAATAAAATTATAAGTGACTGGTATAAGAAACCACCCTTAAGAAGGGTTCTGAATTATCGTTCGAAACATTCTAGAAATCAGTAAGTGGCTATGCTATACAACCTGGTAGACTTTGGAATACATTTGGCAAATACAGAATTTCTTTACAAAAATCTAGAGAAAGTTAGAAACATTCTTAAAAACAATATTTATTCAGATTTCTTTATTAATAAATGCATTGAAATTAGATTGGCACATAATACTAAAGCAGTTATTAACAGCAACAGTTGAAGAGTAGCATTGTAATTCTGCGAGCATATTTATACCAAAATTTGGGCGTTTTTCAGTAAATACGATTTAGACATAGATTTATGCAACTCCAAGAAAACTAGTTCGTTATATGACAAGCAGAAAGATAAAACTAAAATTGGGGATAAATCTAACTAATGAGAGTAGGTCGGTGTACCTGCAGTGTCTGTGGTCGGAAAGTCCTCTGGTGGCGGAACATTAGCAAAATAGCGGGATTGAATTTAGACGCTGTGTGCCAGAGAATTCTAGGCGAAGGCTGCTTTAATCGGTAGTTTTCCGTGTTTTGTCTGATCAATACCTGGTGAATGGCGGAGTAGGACCCTAGCAAACGGGCCACGGACCGCGTGCGATCAATCCTTCCTCTTCCTTACACATGAACTTACATTCACTATAGACCACCACATCTATCGCGGAAACGTAGAGCCTTCTCCCTTTGAGACTGGAAATTCTCCGCCAGCTGATGTGCAGTCCGGCACCGAATCTCACAATCCAACGGAGGAGGAACACCGCCACCTCCCGCGATAAAATTTTCACAACACGAACAGGGAACTGCAATCAATGAATTTGAAAGTGCTTGACCTCAAAAATAATGTGCGTTCAATATGGTTTTGTTTGATACTAATTTGATTGTGTACCTTCTCCACTTCAAGTTGAATAGGTGTAGATCAGTGTAGGTGGAGCACACGAAGGTGGATAATCGCTTATCACTCGGGCGTAGGGATGGAACCGGTGATGGGGATAGGATCGGAGCCAGGATTGTAAAGAAAGGATCGCGCAGGGTCCGTGCCCCGTATTCTGGAGTACTGCTCTGGTCTACTCGTATGCCTGGAAGCGATCAGAGAAACCACGGAACTAATCAGAGCTGTAGAACTGCGAATTCGGTTTGGCGCCAACATATTCGCTGATGTGAAATAAATAACTTAAAAGGCAGGCATCTGGCGGGAACCGAACCCGCGATTCCCTTATCACTGTTGCGTTCGATCCGGAATACGTTGTTTTAACTCTCGCCGCCATCGGCGTGTACTTCGTGAAAATCGAGAAGAAAAAACAAGAGGTAAAGGTCTTCCTATTAAATCGAGCTCAACGTTTTCTATGCTGGAATTAGTTCTTTGCACTACACAGAAAATATAAAAGAACAATTTAACTAATAAATAATTCTATTTTATTAAATCACGCCATTCCTGAAGTTACGCTCTTCATGAATATGTGAGTTGAAATGTTTGATAATGGAACGCAGACTGTCATAAAACATTATATCAATTAGATTATTTTGACTCTCCTTCCTGGAGAAATAATTGTTTCTTCAACAAAGCATAGACAATGATAAGCAAAGACACTGAAAAAAATATGCATGTAAAACAGAATGTCTGTTGTGATATATTTTTCAAACCTTTTCATCAATTGTCCCTTGTTCAATACAAGACTGTTTAAAACTTACTCTGTCATGATTTCCCCGGGCCTTTTTCTCAAGGGGGAATGCATTACGTGCTAGTCCATTTTGGGACCGCGCCCAAACATCTGGAAGTCAAATTATTTTACGAGGCCAAGTCGAGACCGTGGGGAGGCGCTTCCAATCACATCGCACCCCTTGCGTTCCTCTCTGCTACTCGCGGCGCCATAAAAGCGGACGAGGTGTCTTATAATCTGGAATTTGGAAGTGTTTGAATGGCCATTTCCAATGTCGTAAACCTATCTCCAAATCACGAGATCCTATATTTCCCTTTTCCCAACGTATACTCCCCTTAAGCGATTCAGAAGTTCTTTTCTGACCGTATTGTAAATTTCAAATACATGTTAAACAAGTGATTTATATGTTGGAATTTTACTAGCAGTATTCTTTCATGCGAAGCTCAAACATCCAGATACCACACGATAACTTGCGGAAGAATAGTAAAAATTAATTATTTTACATTATTTATATCAGGCTAGTATGTATATGAAATTTGCTAACTGGGTATGTTACAGAAGAAGCTATATTGTGGACAATAAATCTTATGGAAAAATTGTTGAATTAGTCAAGACGTAATGAAAATCGTATACACATTGTTGCTGTAATCAATTAGATAATTCTTCAAGGTTTCAAATTGAATTAAAACGAGAAAGAAAAATGTAGAAATTTTAATACTGATGGTGTTCGTGGATGATGAAAGTTTCACTGCTACACATTTCATGGTATGTCTACTTGATTATATAGAAAGGAAACATGTAGTGTTTCCTTTCTTCAATGTATTCGGTCCCTTCAAGTTAAAGTGCAAAAAATGTTGATTGATTGAGAGAGGGAGGGAGAGAAAAGCAAGAGAGAAATAGAGATTAAAAGAGAAAAAGTGTAAGAATGAAAGAGGGAGAGAAAGAGAGAGAGAGAAAGAGAGAGAGAAAGAGAGAGAAAGAGAGAGAAAGAGAGATAGAAAGAGAGAAAGAGAGAGAAAGAGAGAGAAAGATAGAGAGAAAGAGAGAGAGAGAGAGAAAGAGAGAGAGAGAAAGAGAGAGAGAAAGAGAGAGAAAGAGAGACAGAAAGAGAGAGAAGGAGAGAGAAAGGGAGAGAGAAAGAGACATATACATATACAACACAGACATATACAACATATCAGGTGGAAGGAAACATGCCCCTGAAATACGAAGCAAGTTGTTGAGTCCTCTCAGACACCTCTCAGAAGGAACATAAAACGTGAAAATGTTGCTCGTCGATGCATCGGAGTGTGTTTTATGCTTAATGAACAGTAATTCAATGCGTAATTAGAGGGTTTAAAGGGCGCGTGAAGAGTCTTTTCGAATGTAGGAATAACGAAAATGCGTGGGAGCGAATAACCTGTTCATGTGGCACAAAGGATTCAGGGAGGTGCAATCGGCATTCCCCTTTCGTAGATGTAGGACATGTTACTATCAGATATTTAAATTCACTATAAAATACGTAGGGAGCATTGATAAATTATGGAATGGTAGTAGTCGCAGGAGATTGATTAAGGAAGGAATCGGTAAAAATCCTTGAAATTGAGGACAGAACAAAAACGTTCAGAACAAAAACCTGTAAAGTGACATTTTTTCGTAATCCAAGTTAATGACCATTCCATATAGATGAATATCGTGTCTTTCGTGAGAAAATTCCTCAGTATTATTCGTGATGATTTTTGCTTCCTTCTATGCGGTCAAATTTTAAACTCTTAGAACACTGACGGCAGTGTTCTGAGCACGAACTAGGCAAGTCCATGACGGTTTTTTTTGTATATTTTCAAGTATTTTTAAGCACTATTTATGGAAATGGAAATAAAATATTCTATGTTTACAAAGTTCAGGTTATGTCACACCGCTTTCTATGCACGGAACGTGTTTCTTACGGAGATGTTATTTTTTACAAAAGATATTTTGAATCATTTCAATTATTATGAAGGAGACAATGATTTCGAAACAATTGAAAAACATTCATCTGTATTGTGCGTCAAATTGTGGATGGTAATAGTAAAAAAAAAGCTGTGAAATTATATATCAAACATGTATAGAGCAAGGTTACAAGTTGTTGTTGTAGAAGAAAAAATGTTTCAAGTGATGTCAATGAATGATGAATGACGAAAAATTCAGTTATGTTATTTCGTTCTTGCTTCATTTGTAGTTATACTACATAATTGTTATTTTGCATAAAAAATGTTCTCATGTTACACAATAGAATATTTTGAGTTTAGAGCACCTTTGTTTTCAATGAATTCACTTACATTTGCACTTCCCTGTGTTTTGCTCAAAAATTTTAAACATTGAAAAGAGATAAGAGTTTTTTTAAATAATTAGTTCAGTTATTTGACTTTATTTCTCTAATATTTCTCTGTATCCATGTCTCAAAAACTACGCTAAATGTCTTTTCAGGGAAAATGCTCCTAATTTATTATTCATATTTTAATTTTCAGAGACATTTTCTCCATTAAATGAAATTATCACTTGCCTAGCTTTGGTTCTGAGGCTCTCAATGCATATTGAGAAATTCATTTTTTTGAAAGCGCTTTCTAACAGCTGAGTAGCACTATTTTACAGTTTTTAGAATCCTCTGCTTCTGCGAGGATCTAAACCGGGGCTATGAACACACAAACACGCATAATGAAGCACACTGTTTAATTTGATCATGTGGTCTGTGTCTACGTTTCATTTCAAGAACACAAATAACTCACATTGTAAATCTTGGTGCATTAGGAGTTGATAGTGAATGTCTATTACATCGTAGGTGAGACATTGGCCGGGAAGTCTGAACAACCAAATTTAAGGAGAGATAAATTAATATTAAAATTACAATTCTATTTCTGTTTGTAAGTAATCAGTGTTGTGCGACCTGGAAAAGTATCTTCCTCCTGATATGATAGTAGCTTAGAATGGTTATAAGTAAGGGTAGATATATACATTTTAAATAAATGATAATATGAGTTCATTATAGCTACAAATAATCTTATATCTAGAGTCGGTTTTCAGAAAGAGTTGGAAGGTTGAGAATTAATGAACATATACTCGGAACAAGATTTAGACAACCATTACGTTTAGATCCTCTACTGATGTGAATGTCACGCCGAAATGTTTGTGAATTCAAGGTTGTTACGTGTCCGACATGTTCACCCAACGTTAAGAACATTACTTCGAAAAATGTCCCGAAGTATCTAAAACTAAACTCTTCTACTTTCTTGACTTTGCGAACACAACATTGAATTTACACTCCCCAGAAAAAAAAACACTGTTGTAACTGCAATAAACTGAACGCAATACTCGAATGTACATGAGGTTTAAGTAAACAACTGATCTCTTTCAGTCCATTATTCACTCCGAAAGTTTGGAGTAATCGGAATTGAAAATTAATGTAGCTTCTAGGGATTTGAAGAAAATAATCAGAAACTCGTTTAATTCCTACTTTCTTTCAGGACATACAAACATGAATTTGTTCCTGAAACAAACTGTAATGTGTTTTGCGAGAACTGACATGCTTTATGAAAATACTCCAATTTTTCAGTGAAAACACTTCTTTGCGAAGATTCGCGCCAAAACAATGGAATTCTTGGAATGAATAATTCAACTTGACAAGAAAACAGGCAATGGCTTTAATTTAGTTTTTGTCGCTTTTATCGCTGATACGAAATATATCATGCTTATAATGAAAAGGAATTCAGGTTGCAAGAAAACCATCGATTGCGGGATGAAACTGGATCTCTTCCTGAACTGCTTGTGGGAGATAAAACACCAATGGATTTTCAGCCATGTAAACATGAAAGGCAATAAAACAGCAAGCAGACTAGCAAACCAAGTTTCCTCAACCATTCTGGTTTCTTTCACTCCAGTCATTCTAAGCACATATCAACTCAGCGAGCAATTTGGAGCAAACTGCCTCTCAAATCTGCCAATCAGGAAAAGCCTGGTTAATTGACGTCCATCGAACAAAAGGTCCCTCAAGCAGTCAGTTTAGACCCCTCTCGACTGATAACTGGACGCGACTATCCTTTTGAGAATGAACGTTTTACTGACTACAGGGTGCCAACTATGCGGTCACAAAACCATGAATGTAATTCATCTGCAAGACTGCCCAGGCCTGAACCACTCAAAACCTTTTTGATGACAACTGCAGGCCCAAGCCCATCTTAACTAGTCAGCGCGTCACTAAAAGTCTCAAGAGTCAACGTTTGCTACTCAGTAAGTACGTAGTCATAATACTAGAAGGCCCAGCTTTCCAAAACCCCACAGAACGCCCAGCAGAGCCGTTTCGACTCCGAGCCTTCAACAATACTTCTTCAGAAGATGTATTCGAAAAATATTTAAATACGACACTATAACACTATCAGGATTAATATATTGAATAATAGAAGTATTATGCCATATATTAAATATATTTTAAACATTGCTTGTCATTACTGTTCTGCGGAATAGAGGTCCAGGAACACCTTGACCGGAATGTGCAATAAAAAATAAAAAATTACATGTTGAAAAGTAAATACTATTTATGTATGAATAGAATTCTTATAATAATAACAATAGAAAGCGTTATAAATATTTGAATTCAAAAATACCAGTTTTACAAGTACCGTTGGATCACCATATGCTTCCGTTGCCTTTCGCAGGGTTTCCTCAATATTCCCAAAATATGGCCACACTGGCAAACACATTTTAGTGATTATTAACCACAAGTTACTATTGTATGCTATATTAGTCCGGTTTTCAATCTATGAGCTGTATTAACATTGACAGAAAAATGTCTTAAACTCTGTTCTCTGACTCACAATAGGGCTACTGTTTGTGAATGAAACGCCTCATAATAAAGCAAAATATGATTTCAATTGGAAGCAGTGAAAGAATTCTGTGATTTCTTTTAAAACCTCTTTTATTAATTTGAAAATCATGAAGCAAAACAGTGACTCTAAAATAATTAAGTATATCTGTCCATCTCATCACCATCTGGAGATCAAAGTGCCGTCCTTCCTGTACAGGAAAGCTTACTTCTCAACTTCAACATTTCCCTTTATTCAAACGATTAGGAGAAACATATTGTCATTCACATTTATGTGAAAACAAAGCGATATCTCAATGAGATAATTTTCTTTCGAAACTTACTGATATATTTGTCGTGCCGTTACAAAAAACAACATGATTTATAAATTTACATGTATTGTACGAGACCAGAAAACAATGCAAAATGGAAGAATTGTGAACATATTTCTCAAAGGAATCCGAAATCCTAGGAGAAATATTTCAAAAATTTCAGCTTTGAAATATATGGGAAATAAGCTACAAGATGGGTTCAGCGCCCAAGGAGCCGAAGTGACGCAGAATGAAATACAACCTGGTGGAGAAAAGTTTTTTTCTTAAATATATATTCAGAAGATTAATTCATCAGTATTAGTATATGGCAAACGGCTACAAATGTTAAAATGTGCCCGAAAGATACCAACTGAGTTAGATTCGATTCCTTGATAATTTCGTGCCTCCAGGCACGCAACTGCTATGACCATTGGCTCCGTAAGTGTAGTACATGTTTTACATGGGCAAGTGGCAATGTTCTTCCCCCCGATGAAT